CGTAGTTAAGATAGATAGTATAAGTAATAGCGGTAATTCTAGTAATTAATTTAGTATATCGTGATAGTTTATTAACTATATTAAAATACTGTAATAATATATTGAAGTCCTCGCGCTAGTGGGGAGGTGGCCACTCACTTGGGGTGGNCGCTCACTTGTGAACCACGTTATAGATAAATATGTGTAGTAGTCCCGGTCTCATACATAAATACCATGATGAGCACAAAACAACGTTGACCTCCTGATACAAATGTATCGTGAAGAGCATGAAAATCAAAGAACAAGAGAGAAAGCGTTCTCATAATTTCTGGTCAATATGTTTAGAAGAATGCCCACACTACGACGCTATGCAAAGAAACAAAAGAACTGTTCATCCGCTGAAAATGCAGGAAATTGAGGGTTACCTCAAGAGACTTTCTAGTAGAACGAGCTGTAGGAAGTTTACATCAAGTCAGACAGAACTGATCCTGTTGAAGAAGGTACCGCGTTGACAACTAGCGAGTCCAATCTGATCGCTGAACTCATAGAACTTGGCACCTACCCAAACCCAGTCTGAAAGAAGTACATATCTCGTATTTACGGGGCGCAATCACCCCTTCATTTGTATCTTCGTCAAGCGGTAGGTCCACAAGGGAATCGTAAAGTAGAGAAGAAAAGAATATCATATCGCAACACAGCTGCTGTTTTATATTTCTCGAAGAATAACAACCTGATTACACTAGAAGCAAATACTGAAACAAAACATCAGAGCTATCGTAACACATATCCATAAGGCGCATGCAGCTCATGTATATATCATGTGGAGATTACAATTGACCAAGTCCAATAGAAGCATTGCGACTTAGCCAGACTTCGTCGTCTCTCCAATTACGGTTGCCGATGCACCATCACCAGACGCAACTGTCTCGTCATCCGTAACCACAGCTGTGTTCCTGTCAAGCTATTCATAACGTCAGTTAAAAAAAACCCATTGAAAAAGTCAGGAATACGACAAAACTTACCCATCTAACGATGAAAGCAGTTCCGATAAAAACACCGCACACCACAATCATCGTGATGCTACCTTTCTTCCAGTACGGAACATCTGTAGCAGGATACAAGACAATACCCCACCAAGTGTACAGAAGCTGGCCTCCCATACTCATGACATACAATACAACGCTCCTAGCAGCATCGTCGCCGCTCCTCGAGCAAATTTCATTTGCCCAGCTGAACATGATGGGGTTGACGACGAAACTAGTGCCGCTGAGGTAGAACGCGGTGAAGATGCCTGCGTCGGAGAGGTTACGCACGAGGAGCAAGGCGGCGGTGACGAGTTGCAGAAGGGCTCCGGCTATGACCATGGGAAGACGTTGGCCAGTGCGGTCGATGATGAAGCCGGCGGCAATTTGGGAGACGATGGCGACGGCTTGGGTGCCCAGGGGGTAGGTGTTGATAGCTGTTTGTGAGAAACGTTTGGCGTAGTACTTGAGCCAGAGAAGAAACATGCCCTGGTATGGTTGTGTTAGGAGATTGTTCATGGGGTGGAGGTATGGGGGGATTGAGCGTACCTGGAAGGCGAAAGCTTCGAGCATGCCGGAAGTGACGGCGAACCATGTCAAGATGTATCTGCGGAGAGGGTTAGGAAAAGTTTCACAGGCTCATTAAGTCAAAATGTTTGCTTACATGTGAGGCTTTCCAAGAACGCGCTTCATAAGACTCTTAGGGTTGATGCTGTGAGTATCGGCTTTCTTGGGTGGTAAACGAGACGCCGCAAATTGCTTTTCCTCTTCACTGAGATAGAACACTTTGGCCGTTGATGGGAGATCGGGAAATGTGAACTGTTGTGGCTTGTCAGCATCTGAGAACCAGCGCACTCGGATGGCGGGGACTTACAAAGCCAAATATTCCGAATGGGATTCCCATGAGGCCATCTATATCATATGCGTGAGTAAAGCTGTGCGTTCAAGGGGTGTTGACATGCCCACCGATTATAAAAACCCATTGCCAGCCTCTCAAGCCTGCAGTACCATTCATGGTGTTATGCATGGCCGTCATCATGAGGCCTGCAAACATACTTCCCGCTTGTCCTATCGCAGTAAAGATGGCTACGCGTTTCGCAATCTCGGATGGTTTGCTGAGGAACATGGTAAGTCTCATGTGCTCGAGGGCAGACTCCAAAAAGTCTGCAAGTTCCCATGGAGAATTTCTGTACTTACTACCACGATCCCATGACATACATGGTGCCACTGTATAAACTAGCTTCCATCAATCCCTGAAAAAACCGGACGGCACACAATTGCGGGTAGTTCTTGCATGCTGCAGAACACATTGTAAGACCGGACCAGAGAATCAAGGTGAGCGGGAGCCATATGCTAGGACGGATTTTCTGGATAATGAGACTGTGCGGAATCGCGCCAACGACCAGACTACACGTTTGATTTAGTTAAGACCACAGAGGAAATCTTTCGCAATGATACGTACCCACTGGTGTACATGGACAGCAAAATACTGTACTCGTTTTTCTTGAGGCTAAGATCTTCCCGTAGACCAGCGACGTATGCATTTGCGAACGCCTGACGATCTGTCCCGTGTCAGATCAGTGTTGCTACGTATAGCCACCCCAACACCAAGACTCACCCAGGTAGTTAAAGAAATAACATGCGCAGCAATAGACCTAGGAGCTGAAATTAGCTATGAAAGATTGAAATCTGCAAGCTAACTGACCATGATGAAGATGTCTAGTTATACACACATTAGCACAACTATGCAACAATGGGAGCTGTGGTACACATACCAAGCTTTATGATAAGCTTCTTTTCCACGGCTTTGCTAGCATCACCACTGCTCGACTTGGAAGCTATACAAACTAGTCAACACAGAGCCATATCTCAAATATTCACACACAATGTACTTACACCCTAGAACACCCATGTTTGGCTACGTCGTACCAGATGATCGCAGTGGATCTGATAAGGTGGATGATTATCAGATGTAACAGGTACAGTACCAACCTTTATTGCATCTGATAAGCGATGGGCAAGCGGTCCAGGCCTTACCTCGGACCAGGAAGGCGTGCGCAAAATTTTCCACATGGCTTGATGATAGCGCGCCCGAATATTGGCCGTCTGCTAAGGACTAGACCGCATCGTGGGGTTATGGCTTTATTATCTGATGATGTTTACGTTTTGGACCGGCCCGATGACTCGACGGGTGATCATCTTGGGAGTATGAACGTGTATTTGTGGATTTGTGCAGTTGGAAGACACAATTTTTTTTACGGTGGATGCTACAAGAAGCAGGAAGGCACAACGGCTAAAAAGCAGCTAGCGAGAGAGGTGTGCACTTCATTGTTGTGTGTGGTACTACCATGAGTACACCGGTTGGTCGTGTGCATCTCCGGTTCCCGGTTCCTGTATTTGGAAACGTTTAAACTATTACATAAGATACCGACGGCACGCTGGGGGCTAGTGCGAAGTCGGCCTGTCCAATGGTAGGATCTAGACAGTGTCACGTGTAGCTGAGAGGGAAGCGGAGAATGCAGTTGCGCTAGGAAAGAGGAGGGCCGATCCGCACATAAGGTAGGTAGTGGAGTATTACGGATACGATAGTCAGCATCCGCTGCTATCATGGCCTCATGAACATGGTCCCGGCGCGTGGGTGAAGATCTGCTGTGGAAGGAACCGGGCATTCTGGTGGCTTGACTCTCTGCCGAGATATCAGCATTCGTTATCAGTCCGTGTGTTACCATAGCGCTACTACCACATCCGTCACGATGTATTCAACACACCAGCAAAGGATGCGCAGTATGAAAAGACCTATATAGCTATACTTGCTGGTAAATCCGTGCCTATATCCGCCTTTGAGCTAAGCATGTCTTGATGAAACAAATCAGGATATCTTGACTAGACCGTAGAACCCTTGCAAATGAGCTTTGCGAGGATGACACATTTATTCACGAAAAAACACACATCAAAGTCACCGATTGATGCAAAGCTTAATTCTTTATACTTACGCATCCCATCCATCCCACGTTGCATAGATTTGCTGAAGACGGGCATGTTCTTCCGGGCCGGCAAAGATTGAGTCGATTGCGCGTTCACACAGCGCCCTGATTTCATATCGGTCTAGCTGGAAATGCTGCGCCGCAAGATAGTACTCTTGTGATAAAGGGCTGCAGAAAACGCCAACATCATCTGTCTGCAAGAAATCAGTCAGCAGTAGTGCTGGGTGACGCAAGGAAATGGACATACACTCAAGGCCACGGGAATGGTGCTGCGCCGCCATGTTCCAAAATGGTGGTCGGAGTAGGTGCCCGTGATCATCTTTGCTTGCACGTTGCAGCTGAGACAGATTTCTACGCCAATGTTGTCTTGTTGAATCATCTTCTGAAACTCATCCTTGACGTGTATGACGTGGCCAAGCCTGTCAGGCTTCCAGGAAAGTAGAGTTTGTAGCTCCGTGTCTGAGGCCGAAGTTTCGACTTCGGCAAAGTGGAGTGTCAGCTTGAGGCCTGCTGCCTTTGCTCGAGCGAAGCTGTCGCCAAAGATACGAACATCGCCTTTGGTTGGATCGCCGCAGAGGTCAATGCCCACGACCCCTGCCGACTGATACTTGATGGCGAGGCTGACGACTTGTTCAGCTTCTTCGATAGTGTTGCGGCGGTCGATGGAGAGGATGAGAAAAGCACGCATGGTATTTGTGCTGTCGGCATTGTGGGCCTGGAGCACGTCTAGCACGGTTTTAACATAGTCTTCCCTAGAGATGTTATGTTGGGGAATTGCTCTTGGAGTTGTACGGAGCTCTGTGTAGACTATGCCATCTTCTTGGAATGCACGCAGCACATGTTTGGTCGAGTACCTGGCTTAGGTCAACACCCAGCGCGGTGTGCGACAAAAACACATACTCGATGCTGGGCAGGTCACTGCAAAGGCGGTAGATGTACGAGGAAAACAAGGGGAAGAATCTAGCGGCCCGGTTAGCTGTGTACTAGCGTCTGACCAGCACCCAGACAATGGAAGCGAGCTGCGAGGCTGACGTTTTGATGTCATAATCGACCTTGCCAGGTGGAATGGCGATTAGAGGATCTTGCACATCGAAATCTGGACGGTGAGCCTTGCTGGCGGTCCAGATGTCATGCAGACACTCGCGGCTGATGCTGCCGGTAAGATGAGCGTGGAGCTGAGTCGTGGCGTTAGTGGCGCTGCGAACCAGAGTCTAATGTGGCTTGGCGGTCTGGCTGCCGAATCAGGGGGGTTAGAGGAGGGTATTGTGGGCATACCTCGATCTTGGGCAGCCGCTTGGTGAAGGCGGGATGGACGGGCAGGACAGGCACAGACATGGGGGAGTGACAGGGTGATGGGTAAGCAGACGGTAAGTAGTAAGAGGGGGGGCAGGGAGTCAGATAGTTAGTGTTTACTAGTATACTTGGATGCAGAGATCTGGTGGCGCTTCAGAGGTTTTCTCGAAGCAGAGGATGGAATGAGTTAACAAAAGTGCAAGTGCAAGTGGCCTTGGACGGGCGGGTCGGACGCCGAAACAGGCAGCTCGGAGCCTATTGGCCCAGAGGGTGGGCAGGTCCCAAAGAGGGAGGCGCGCTGCAGGAGATTGCAGCAGGCGCGCCTTGTTGGTCAAGGTCAAGCGTGTGCGCACGAGAGGGACGATGCCGCGTCCCAGTCTCGACGGGGCAAAAAAGGCCCGCTCCTACTCCCTCGCTCCCTCGCTCCCACAGTTTCCCCTATCGCTCGCTGCACCCGGGATATATACATACTTGCATACTATACTCCTCTACGTACGTACTGCTACTACATAGACTCCCCCCACTGCTTCGGCAATCTGCTCTGCCCCTCAGCGCTGCTGCCGTTCGCCCGCAATACTGCCGTGCGGCGCACCCTTGCCCACAGCCAACCGCAACGAACGGCCTCTGATCTTCAGCGCTGGCTGGCGTTCTCGGCTAAGCCAAGCTTGAGCTCACCCCCGGGCCGCTCCTGTAACCTCGCCCATCTCCAAAGCCCTCGCATCCCTTCCATCTTCACGCACCCCCACGACCGCCTGTCTGCTTGCCGCTGAGTCTCCGCGCCAGCAATTGACTTCGCTCTGCGCGCCCTCTTCCGCTGCTGTTGCTGCTGCCACTTGTCCATCGCTTCCTCGCCTGCCGCCTCACCCGCCCGTCTCCACCGCGCTCCTTGCAGGCCCCTGGATCCGCCCGTCTCGCCTTTTCGCGCCTCCTGCCCTCTTGACCTGACCCGCCCTCAACGCCTGCCCCCATGGCCGACATGAACCAGGAAACTATACAACAGAAGATCCAGCTCGCTCGACGCGACGCTGAGGCGCTCAAGGACCGGATAAAGCGCAAGAAGGATGAGCTCGCTGACACAACCCGTACGTGATCCGCGCCTGTCAATGCCCGTCGCTGCATCCCAACGTCTGCCATGTCCACTGCTAACACGCTGCTCCAGTCCGCGATGTTGCCAGAGATCGCGTCGAGGCCCTGCCGCGACTCACCATGAAAACAAAGCGCACCCTCAAGGGCCATCTTGCCAAAATCTACGCCATGCACTGGTCGACGGACCGCCGCCATCTCGTCTCGGCCTCGCAGGACGGCAAGCTCATCATCTGGGATGCCTACACAACAAACAAGGTCCATGCCATTCCCCTCCGCTCCTCGTGGGTCATGACCTGTGCCTACTCGCCCTCGGGCAACTACGTTGCCTGCGGTGGCCTCGACAACATCTGCTCCATCTACAACCTGTCGGCACGAGAAGGTCCGACACGCGTGGCACGCGAACTGTCTGGCCACTCTGGATACCTCAGTTGCTGCCGATTCATCAGCGACAAGCGCATCCTCACATCCTCGGGCGACATGACGTGCGTGCTCTGGGATCTCGAGACTGGTTCAAAGGTACACGAGTTTGCCGATCACCTTGGCGACGTGATGAGCTTGAGCATCAACCCGCTCGACCACAACCAATTCGTATCTGGTGCTTGCGATGCTTTCGCCAAGCTCTGGGATATCCGACAGCAGAAGTGTGTGCAGACGTTTGCTGCGCACGACTCGGATATCAATGCCATTCAGTTCTTCCCCAACGGCAACGCTTTCGGTACCGGCTCCGACGATGCCTCGTGTCGCCTGTTTGATATCCGTGCCGACCGCGAGCTAGCCTCATACCAGGTACGCGCCCATGTGACACGATGAGAATTGTCATGTATATTGATTACTAATGTGCAATCTTGGCAGATTCCCGAGCCCGTCTGCGGCATCACATCTGTAGCCTTTTCCGTTTCTGGTCGTCTGCTGTTTGCCGGTTACGATGACTTTGAGTGCAAGGTAAGGGCAATGCTGATCACTTTGTTTTTTGTCCGTACGCTAACCAGCTTATCAGGTATGGGACGTATTGCGCGGTGAGCGTGTAGGCACATTGCAAGGACACGACAACCGTGTCAGCTGTCTGGGCGTCAGCAACGATGCGCTCAGTCTCTGCACTGGTTCATGGGACTCCATGGTAAGTGTTGCTATTTTGCTGTTGGCCGATGAAACGACTAACTCGGAATAGCTGCGCATCTGGGCGTAAGCGCACCAAGACGACCAAATACCCACGACGCCATGTAACGACGCCAACCGGACGTGTGCGCCTATTCTTTCTAATATTGGCAACCTACAATCGATGACGGCAATCTTTGCAAACTCCTGGCATACCCATACCCCCTTGTTGCATCTTACTTACCCAGGAGTCTTCTGAGAGCTCTACCCTACTTCTAAGATTATAATACACAGCAGCCCTTGGAAACATTGACGCGGCTCTCCTGTCACGTGGTGTTTAGGCGCCCGGAGAGGTTTTTCCTTTGCGTGCTTCAATTGTTTCATATACTTTTTTTCTTTCTACGTTCCCTTTTCCATACCTTTGGTGTGTGTTAGTTTCTTGGGCAAGGCAAGCACTTGCGTCGCACTTGTCTGTTGATGTCCGGATAGGCGGTCGGGCGTAGATGAGCAAGACGTAGTGTGTCTCAAATCTTCGTTCGACCGTGTATTCTCGTTGCGTTCTGCCCAATGTCTAAAAAAAGCGATGGGTTGTTGTTGCAGTTTGGTGGGATGGGGGGAAGGAGAGAGAGAGAGAGGTTAAGGGTGCAAGACGGGGGAGAGGTGGGGATAGTGTATGTTTTGGATTTTGGTCTGCATGCAATGGGTCTGTAATTTTCCATTGATGGGGCAGTGAAGAAGCGATGTATCATGGCTGGCTTGTGCATGGGATTTGAATGTGTACGATTTTGCTTGGTAGTGGGAGGAGGACATGGCAGGAGCCAGGGCGGGATAGGTAGTTTTTAGCGAGTTTTTCATGTACTTCATTTTACGTTGATGAGGTGTTGTTATGGCGTTGAGCTGTGCGGTGGCCGTGGGAAGAGATGCATTGTTGAGGCATTGAGCGATAGGGGATGAGTGCCGTGCCTGGGATATGCGTGATGGGCAGTGCTCGCACTCGTGACTGGCGCACAGCCCAAAGATGGAACCAGGTTGTCCCCGGGACATGGGGCAGCCGAATGTCACACCGCTAAACAGTACACAACGCCGAGGGATGGAACAGCTCCAGGGTCCTAGAATCACGCACATGGTGGCGCTAACTGGAGTGATAGGAGCACCTGTAGCCTTGTCAGGACGAAGTTAAAATGCGCACACAAGCGTTGGAAAAAAGACCAGGAGACGCGCGACCCATGGACAAGCAGGAACCAGGATGGCGATTTCTAGCGTTGGGCAGTGCAATGCATCATCAAGTTTGGGGAAATGATGGACCCAGGAAGAGCTTGTATACCCGCGATATAAGGCATAAACGGCTGCCAGGCATTGACGGCTATCGGAGAGCACCTGCCATGTGCGCAAGACGCGGAGGATAAACAAGTACCAGCTTCATGCTTCTAGAAGGTCAGTCGAAGTTGTGCATAGCCGGATGGCCCCACACACACCCACACACCAGGGGTACAGCGCTCCACCCCGGTACGAGCAAGTCGATCATTCCCCGAGTGAGGGCGTGAAGGAGCAAGTAAGGGAGTGAGCATGGTAACCAAGTCTTGCTCCTTTCTCTCTCTCTCGTCAGCCCTTTTGGGGGGTGGCCAAGGCCAAAACTCTCCCGTTTCCATGGCCCTCCGCCTGGTTTCCCCTGTGCAGCTGAGACGACTCGAGGCGTCACAAGAGTAGCAAGGCAGAGGGTACAGGTGACGTTTGTCTGATCTTGTCTATACGGAAACAAGGCGCCGAAGGAGGAGTAGCAGATGGCTCGGTCCCATGTTTCAGCCTTGGACATGCTGCGTATGCTGTGGGCCAGCGGGCGCCACCGGCGAGCAGCCAATTGGGCGAGTAAGCACGAGAGCACGTTTCGACCCTCGAGCGCCGTTTCGAGAGATGCGGGCGCTCTGCTCACAGGCGGCCCCTATGTCGGCCGAGTGGGGAGTCGCCCTCGAGCGTCGCGTGGCCCTCCGGTCAGCATCAGCCCTCGCCAGCCCTTCCCAGCCCTAAACACCACCCTCCCAAGCGTCCGAGTCCTACACTCCTCCAGCCCTGGCCCTGCATTTTCGCTGCTCCTCTCCCCTCCACCAGCCAATCACGGTCCTGAAACCCACGCTACCGCTTCGAAAATAGCCCCGCCAAGCCTGTCACCGGCGCTCCTCCATCCCAGACTCCCCAAACAGACTCCCAGCAACCTTGCACACATACCCCTTCCTTTTTTCACCATCAACGCGTCACCCGGCACCTCTCCACACATATAACCTCCCCGTTCCCACCGTCTCCGCTCCGCTTCTTCTTTTTTTCGCCATGAATCCGTCCACCTCAGCCGCTCAAGACGAATTCAACGAGCTTCTTCGTGACAAGGACCACGACGACAGACACCCTGAAGACCGCCACGACGACAGCGACGTCTCCGAGCCAGAGTCCCCTGGTGCTGCCGCCGACTACCTCGAGAAGATTGACACCGACGACGAACTCGACATTCCCGCCGACATGCGTGCCAACTATTACATGCCCAACCGCCGCTCAGAGGCCAACACGGGCCCCAAGGGTGTCATTGCCGATGCCCAGGCCTTTGAGCAGGCCAAGAAGCAAGCAAGACGCTTTACCTGGAAGAAGAACTCCCCGCCTACATCCTACACCGTTTCCGCCTACCATGACGACAAGGCCTCGAGCGACGAAGATGCCGACGAGGGCTTCATGCGCCAATGGCGTGAGGCCAGGCTCAAGGAGCTGCAGAATGTTGGCGAGAAGATGCGGTCAAGGACAAATAGCCCTAGCCGTCGTGTCTACGGTACCATGCCGTTAGTCGATGGTGAGGGGTACCTTGATGCCGTTGACAAGACCGCCTCGGGTACTACCGTGCTTGTCTTCATCTATTCTGAAGAGGTTCGTGCAGCGATACCCTTCCAATGTGCAACACACTAACATCAAATAGATTGAGCTTGACCAACAAGTTTGCGTATTCATGCGTGAGGTAGCAAGACGCAATGACACTGTCCGGTTTGTCAAGATGCACGGCGAGGAAGCAGAGCTCGACCGCGATGTTCTCCCTGCTGTCCTGGCATACAAGGGCGGCGAAAAGTTCGCTTCCATTCTGCCTCTTCTCAACGAGTTGCCCGACGACTCCGAGCTCAGTGTTGTTAGCCTGGAAACAGCGCTCCGAAAGTGAGATTGTCCACTCTTTAATGCTGTGAATCCTGCTAACCGATGATTTCAGAAACCGCGTTCTTTGAAACGTCATCTGAGCATTGCTGTTCTTCAGCAAATCAACCTCACACCGCACCGGTTTGTGCATGCCATCATTCACGGTCTTCATCAGTACCACTTATGAAGTCGGAATACGTCAGCGCCATTTTGGCGTACGCTCTGACCATTAACGTTTCAGAGTGTCTTGACTCACATTCCGGCCCATCTTAACGCCACGCACGGACAGCTTTGGCCTGTTCTAAACTCGCCCACAGCACTAGTCTCGTGTGCTTCGGCACTTTTTTTGATCACTCGTGCCACGTGCGGCCCTACCTCTAACGACCAACGCCAACCATCGACGTCATTTTTTATTTTGTATTTATGTCTTTGTAGCGGGCGTTTCCCCCCCCTTGGGTATATATATATGACATTAGACCATTACCCCTATAATCATGTCTGGCGTTTGAGGGAAAGGGCTTAGACAAGGGGAAACTAGGTCATTGTTTTGATATAACTCTGTACTACGCTCCGTCCTACATATCTCGAGAGCAGGAACATCTCGAGGCACGCATAGTAGCAGCACGCACGTTTTTTAGAATATGATTAGATAAATGCTGCGAAATATTATTGGTATTCGGCATCCCTCTCTTTGTTTGAGGATGTTGGGAATACTTTCCGTATTATGTTCTTAATACATATGTCCTATTGGCAACTTGGTTCTTTGCTTACGACTACTTACGTACTAACAATAGCGTTATACGTTGTTAATCCCCGATCGGCTCTTTTTCCCATCTATACTATCTCTCTTTCTTTTTCCCCTTCCTCACGCTGACGTAATCCTCTAACCACCACCTCCTTCCCTTCCCCCATCCAGACACCCTGTACCACACACATTTTACTAACCCCGGTTTTAAACTTTTAAGCTTTCTCACTCACCCAAAACCGTATACGCAAATCTGACAAGAGTGTGTGTGTGTGTGTGTCTTTCGCCACAAAAGGATTAGGACATCGGAAACCAGTCGGTTGAGGGTAAGGTTCCGTGGTAATCCGTAGCGTAAATCGTGTGTGTCGGGGGGTGTGGTGGGAGTGGATGGTACCGGATCGATACGATGTTGATTTTAGAGTTTGTGTGTGCGTTGAGAGGATTGGGGAGTTGAGGGGGGAAGTGGGAATGAGGGGGTAGGAAGATCATTGGGGTGAAGAGGGGGGAGGCAAGGAATGAGTGTGTTGTCAAGTTTACTTTGCGTCATAAGGTTTCTTGTTTTTGCCCCCTTTTTTATCTGTCAGCGCATGTGATTCTCTACTTTTTTTTTCTTGTGTAGGGAGATGCTGCTTGTCTGACTAGACGGTCGAGACGTGAATGTGGAAGAGAAAGGTGGAGTGTTTATATGTATTGTGGTGTTTGCACCATTGGTGGGGTTGTACTGCGCAGATCTTGCAATAGCGACTCATACGAGTACAGAGAATATGCAACTACAACATGCGTAACTTTCAGATCGAATCCCTGAAGTAGCTTATTTTGAGCTGCATGCAACAGTATCAACTACAACCCAACGGCTTCGTCTCATACAACACAATCTTGATGGTTTTGGCAAAGTAACACAATCAGCCGCTACCCTTACCGTGCCTAGATATTCCAAGAACCATACCCTGAGTCCACGTACATTGATGTCCTCGCAAAAGACCTTTATACGACGATGCTTACGTCACTTTTTACGACGAACTGTTAGGACCGAATGCCGCCCCGGTATTAGCCTTATGTTGTGGGCCACTCTCCGTAGCGAAATAAATCATAGGCACATTATAAGCTCCATATTTAGTAGCTTGTGGCTTGGATCTAGATTGCATTTCCATGTAGCCTTCCTCCAGCTTTCCATTGATTGATTCATCTCGTTTGGCTCTGTTCAATCTCATTCTTGGCGCTCGTATGGCTGACGAGATACAACAAGAGTTACAAATCCAGGCAACTTTCCGTCATCACAAATTCCTTAGATGCCAAGAAGGTATCCTTGAAATTAATGCTTGCAGTCAAGCATATGTGCATCATCCAAGACTGATAAATCCCGCGACTGCTAGCCGCACCCTAGGAGATCCGTCTGAGTTCGGTGGTGCTTCTACAGTAATCGACACTGCACCACCTGTGCTATAAAGCACAGTGCATGACCAAGCCAGGATACCTGTATTCCATACTCCAGTAAAGTACTGGCCCTGGCGGAAACAGTTCACAGCATTTTCCGCCGCCCCTAATATGCCAGGTGCGTGAGTCTCGAACTGGCTGGCTCTCCTGCGAGCTTCGCTTTCTACGTTCGCATCGGACTGAGCTTGAGCTTCGGCGAACGAGAAGGACGGCAAGGAATTATTGTAAGAGCTGAATGACGGGGGTTCGTCGTGAGAGTGTCAGCTTCTAGTGCAGAGAAGAACCGTCGTTAATACTAACCTGCGAAGAGAGACGGCAAAGTACCATCGATTATATCATCGAAGCCGGTGGCTTGATTTCCCGGGGATGTTGTAGATGCTCTCCCATGACCGGAAATATCATGACTTGAGGGAAGAGTGGTGCTGTCGAGGTCGATACCGTGAGAGCCGTCTGAGTCGGAGATTTGGGCGAGAGAATCACTAGGTGCCAAGGCACTCTCAGAGAACCGGCCACTTACATCATTCCTGGTTTGCGGCGAGGCTAGAAACTTGAGAGCATTCTTAGTAGCTGTTGTACGTAAAGATCTGTGTACTGGCAAGGCCAGTAGCTCTGATCTGACCTGCTCCTGATAGTCCTGACAGTTGTTACTGGCAAAATGGTAGTCCTCGTTGTAGCGTTTGTCGTTTGCCGAGTAGTTGTTCAAATCCCCAAATGTGACTGTCTTCTCCACCTTTTGGCCGTGGATTTGCTTGTCAAAAACCCGGTCATAGACTTCATATGACTCTGTCTTGTTACGTAAACCGGTGATCTTGGCCCGTACGTTCTCTCCGCTCACCGGACTTGGAACATCGGTAAAGCCTGTGATGCAATCTTAAGTCAATGTTTACAACTTTGGTGAATGGACTTGATACAGCATGAAGGCCATTAACATACCCCATCCATTTGTCCCTCGTTCATATATGCGGTGCTTCCCCGACTCAGATTGAACCAGAGGACTTTCGTGGGCGTGGATGTCCATATAAGGTAAAAAGGACTCTGCATTAATCTTCTCGCGAAGAACGAAAGTACGAGCAATGGTCTCGTTGGCTAGAGGGTCGACAGGATCGCTCATAATGATATATGCAGACAATGCTGTTCTCTTGGGCAGGACCTTCGTGTGCGTAGTAGTGGATGATTCTTAGGCTCGCTAAACATGGAGAGCACGTAAGGTTCGTATGGAATATGTATCTCATCAAGCTAGTGCCAAGGACTAGCCTTGATGCAGCTTCCTCTTATCTAACACCCATGGTGTCCAACGAGTTGCAAGAGGCCGGGCGCCCAGGTCGTACAAACCTCTCGGTGAGTGACTTGGCGACGATGGATGGGCTGGAATTTCTGCATGTAATCTCTGGCTGCAATCCCAAGGCAACTCGTGCTTTGCGACTGGTATATGCAGACTTCCTGAGGGTGTAGGTCCCCTTAGATCCCCCAGGATAGTTGACTACACCCGGGGATGGCAATGTGAGAAACGTCGCGGTAGTCTGTGAGGGCGTGGCACGACTTACGGACGCTAATAGGGGCTTCTTATATGAGTACGTAGCCAGCTTTGTCTATAATACTTCGTGTTAGTGAGGGCATAAAGGAAGCGAGCTGCAACCTTTGGACTACTAGGCGGCGCAGGCGGCACGGGCACACGGACAGTATAATAAATACATGCTAGACCTACGGCTATGCTATACTCTATAGGTATTTTTAGAGGATCTTCTGAGTAGGCGTAGCCTTAAATTTATTACAATTCTATATAGTATAATGTTAGTATCTTAACATAGCTAGAGCGTCCCTTATATGTTAAGGCTTTCAACGGCCTTCTACTTTAGCTAGCGAAACTCCTAGCGTCTACTTCAATAAAGGTTAACATTGCTTTTAAGTACAGAAGTATTATTTTTATAGTGTATACTAGCCCTATACGTCTCTCAAATCTTAGCGAAGGCCTTAGTGTACGATTAATGGCGATGAAGAAATAGTTGATAATATACGCAATATAATAGAGATCCTCACCAGGGGCTAGCGTCCTATATAATAATAGCAATAGACTTGTGCAACGTTATTGCAGCCCTCTAAACTAGTAACTATATAATTCCGAAGGTCCGATTCGCAAAACTGTCCCGCGATGGGGTGCGTCTCGCTATCTAGAGACGAACATAAGTTTTCTTTCTTTCAAAAAAAAAAAGACCGCGTAGTTGTGTCTGAAGACATGTTTTGTGCATCTCTCCATCGAAACCAGATGACATATTTCACTGGACTATGGAACGAGATCCTTCCCACTGCGCTACTCTGACACATAGACAAGAACCCCTCATGGCTCGTCCGCATCGAGAACTAGATTCCTAACGGCAATCAAGTGTTAGATTTCACCTGGACACCTGAGATAATACCACAAGACGCTCCCGCAAAGACTGCAGCAGAAGCTGAAGCAGCGCTATGGCCACCACCCGACACACCCAGTTGGTCCTGGTTCTCTATCCCCATGTACAGATATTACCAGGTCTCCTTCCTCCTAGCCGACGACTCGCTCTTCGTCCGCTCCAAAGCACTCAACTCACCACATCTTGTCGTGTGGCACGACATCTTCTGGGCCAAACCACGGGGATTCCAGTTCCCCGGCCACGCCGCACGCCACGCCCCAGACACCGCAGCCCACGAGTTCTCGAGTACGCAGATAATACTCGAGACGAGCGTCTTACCAGTCAAATCCAATTGGCCGGCTGATTTGGCAGTGCAGATGCAAGACATCGCAAGTAGCAGTACAGTACCTGCTGACTGCCATTTCCGCTGGGATCCAGAGCTGGAATACTACCCTGATGACCCTGCTGGTCGGGCTTCCCCACCTCGCAACGCAATCTATGCATTACTATCTGAGGTCCAGGTTGTGCGGACTGCGGGAACGAAGAATATCCAGCGGCGGCTTGTGGGGCTGATGCTTGTTCCTGCTGGGTTGAACAAGAGAACGTGGAAGAGGGTCGGGGTGTGGAAGTTACGGATTAATGTCAAAGATGTGGCAGTTGATGCGGGGAATATTGGGGGTGTTGCGGAGAGGTGGAGGGGGAAGAAGGTGGTTTCTGGGAAGTGGGAGCGGGTGGTTGTTACGATTGTGTGAGTGAGTGTAGATGGAGGAGGGAGCAATGATAGAAAAAATGGGTTTTTTGTTTCACAAGTGGATAGAGTAATGGTGAAACTGGGTGTTACAAAGTAAAGGGTTTGGAGGGAAAAAAAAAGAATCACTAATCAGATTTCTCTTTGATGATGACAAATGAACAGACTACTTGAATTCAACATCAATCTATACGTATGTAGGAATAAAACGGGATTACAAATCAAACACTTGCAAATTAAAAACATCACAGACAAGAACAGAGAAATCTGACCCAGCAGACAAACGGACAGATAGACAGACAGACGAACAAAGACGAGTCCAAATGCATGCATGGCATTTCAATTGCACCAGAAATAAACACACAGACACTACTCACTACGCCGGGAAACCCTGTACTACTCCGGTTTTACCAAATGCTAACAATGCTGCGCTCCAGAAAAAAAAACAATAACAATGAAATGGTATAGTGATCTCTCTCTCTCTCTCTCTCTTTGCTTCTTCGCTCTGCTTATCGCCTTTGCAGGCCTTTGCTTCAGACAGTCTTTGCGCACTTTGCTTTGCAAACTCCCCCTTGGATTTCCCCTTTTTAATGGCTGCCCGAGAGAAGAAGAACAAGAACAAGAACAAGAAGCATTCTGACTAGTAGTTGATTTGGTACTAGTTTTGTGTAAAACTTGTTTGTGTGGTATCCAGTAATCGTGTCGCTCATTAATTAATTTGCACCCTTTGAACAGAGAAAATAGAAAAAAAGAGGAAAAGAAGATTATGACAAAAGAAAACATGAGAAAAAACGAAAGCAGTTTGCCCAGCGCCATGCGATATGCAGCCAAGAGATGATGAACAATCCCACTGGCGGTGATGATGATGATGATGATGATGATGATGATGATGATGATGTTAATGACGATGACGGATGATTTCCAAAAGAGAAAAACAACAATTAAAGAATAGGTATGATCCGCATATCCTAGGTAGCGGCCACACACCAGTGGCGGTGGAAGACCCACGCGCTCTTCTGGCACTCTTTGCTGCAGTATTTTGTCCTCCGGCAGCGGCGGCACTTTGCAAACTGGCGCGTGTACTCTTCCCAGCGTCCGCATTGGTAGTATGCACATTGCCGGATGCCTCCACGGGAGTCGTCTTTCCGGCAGAGGTTGCGCATGACAACACTGGCCCAGTATTGCATGTCTGATGTGTGGTGGCGGACGGTGAATTGCTCGACAAGAGGGAAGATGTTGAAGTCGTCGGGGAGTTCATACTCTTCGAGCTCTTCCTCCTCCTCGTCAGCAGCCTTTGGAGTGGACGCCTCGCCATCCAAAAGTTCAATGCCAATCTTGAGCTTGGGTACCAGATGAGACTTTTGGAAGTAGGATCGTAGGTTGCAGTACTTTGATACGTAGGCCAGAAGCTGCAGAGACATGAGGACATCCTCGTCACGGGGCATGGCAGCCAGTACACTAGCCGAGGCATTGCGTTCCTGGGCATAGCGTGGGTACCATGGTGGTGGGGGGTTGGTGTTTACAACGTTGATGGTCGGGGGCAGAGGAGAGAAGCCGGTAATGGGGTTGTTGGGCGGGGTGTTTGTGGGATTGATGATGCTGCCATCGAGGGCTGGGCGGTGGGTAATGTTGAAGGTCTCGTTGTTTTCGTCGGTACCCTCGGAAGGTGCTGCAATGGGAACGGGAGTGTTGCCTGCATCGAGCATCTCTGCGTTGCCAACAATATCGGCCATGTTAATCTCGTTGTTTTGGATGCCTACGATTGGTTCGTTTACAGCCGGGCCCGCCGCAGTGGGAGCTTCTGCCGACATGTCGTCTTGCGGCGCTTCGAGATCCGACTCGCCAGAGACGGATAACTGGTGTCGAATGGATGGCCGGCGACGGGTTCTGGCCAGCCCCGCTCTTGGGCTGGTCTGACGTGCTTGCGGGGCACTTGGCGTGGTGGGTGACTCTGGTTGGGAGGTCATCTCCCCCTGTAGGGCAGGCAGCATCGAGGGTAGACGGTCGGCATCTCGCACGGGGCGTAGGGTGAAGGCGTCGGGTGCTGTGTCCATGGAAGGCAGGGCAGTGACCAAGGGCTGGGTGAGGTTGCGTGTGTTGTTGGCTGGAGCGCCAAATAGCTGTGCCCGGCTCTCGTGGCTGCGGTGGTGATGGTGGTGAGGAGGGCGGCCGCGGGCAAAGGTGGTGCGCTCTGGTGGTGAGCTCAGTGAGAAGGTCGGGACGGGCGTAGTTTCGGCCAGGGGTGCGTCGAGGGGCCGGGGAATCTCGATGGGAGGGGGGATGATGCGTCGTGACCGGTCTGTTCGGTGGGCGGAGCTGGAGGCAGCTTCGCCGGTGCGTGATGAGTGGTGGCGGCTCGAGGTTCCCAGGCGCGACGACTTGTGCATCTCGGCCTCTGCTCTGGCCCGCATCTTGTCGACAACCTTGATGTAATTGTCGAGAATCGAGGCAATGACGGGCACCATGTCGGCCTCGACAACACGCGTCCTGACGCTCTCGGAGCCGCGTACGCCGATGTTGAAGATGCACTGGAAGGCGAGGTTCCATTTCCACATGTCCATCATGTCCTTGCTCCGGCCTTCTTTGAGGATACATATCAGGCGTTCGATGCCGCCATCGACGGTCAGGATGTCGCGTATGCGGGCCGACGATGTGGTGAGGTAGGCGAGGTGGTTGAGCGAGTTGATGAGCGGCAGGGTCGATGTGCAGTCGAGGGCGCGGCGGTCGTAGAGGGCTGTGGTGATGCCGACCGAGGCCTTGTTGGCATTCGGGATGCTGAAGTTGACTTCGCGCATGGCGGGCGTCTTTGCAGTGGCGCTTGGTGGGCGTGGCGGATGGGTGGACGCTGGGGGGAAGGGTGGTGTTTAGCGGGTTGGGGGCTAGTGTCGCATATGGTGGGCGGCGAGGGAGTGAGAAGGAGCACGGGAGCCCGACGAGCTGACGGTTGGAGCAGCAGCCGGGACTGATGGGGATGCGGTGATGAAGAGAGTGGGAGAGCGAAAAGGAGAGTGGGCAGCTTGCGGCGGGAGATGAGGCTTGTTTGCTTGCTGCTAGGGGTGCCGGGATGTGTGAGATGGATTGAGTGCTCCGGGCTGGGGGGGTGGGTCGAGGCAAGAGCCCTCTCGCTCACGCTCTCACTCACACGCACACTGGCGCTGCCGGCGACGGGCCACGCGACAGGCTGGGGGGGAGGGGACAGTGGTAGCGTGCAGAGAGGCGAGGATGTGTGTCTATGTATGTATGTGGATGTGGATGTAGATCGCGGTAAGGCTGCAGAGTGTATGTATGTATGTATGTATGAGTGGTGGCAGTAGTGTAGTGTAGTGTGGTGTGGTTGTAGTGTGGTGGTGGGTATGGTGGGTGTGGGTGGGTGCTATGCTACAGACTGCCTGCCTGGCTGAGACTGACTGGGCTGGGCTGGCTTTGGTGGGTGGATGAATGGATGGGTGGATGGATGGGGGAGGCAAGAGGCGGTTCGGGGAGGGAAGGCGTGGCCTTGCACTTGCACTTGCACGCCCTCGCTCCTGCACTTGCTCCTGCTAGTCGCCGTCACGGTCAAGCACAAGCATTGGCACCGCCGGCCGAGAAGGGCAGTCTCGAACCGCTAATTTCATGCGTCACGCCCGCCCGCTCGCGCTCAAATCTATCGCCAACACCTCCCGTCGCAGCTCCCAAATATCGCCTGCAAATCATCTCACTAATCACCCTATCCTATGTGCTCTTCTGCACTCGCTTCTGCCCAATGCAACCCCCCCCTTTGCGCCACACAGGTGGCGTGCTTAAGACGTGTGTTTTTTTTTCTCCGGCTGAGCGGCTTGCTGCATTCATGCCAGCACACGTTGGTTTTCGGCCGGGTGCATGCTATCACTATGACTACTACCACTACACCCTAATTATGCCTATATGCTGCTGCTGCTCTCTTGCTGCCCGCTGACAGTGATGCCCCCTTTGGTTGGTCAGCGGATTTATGCTGCAGGCCAACTGCTCTGCCTCCCACTCTTCGTCGCGCCCATGGCGAGACATGGCATGGTGAAACCCTGCACCAGCTAAGACAGCATGCTCCCTCACAACCTCGTAGCCTCCATGGGCGGACTGTTCGCAGCCTGCCCGTCCGCCCGCTGCCATCCCGTATTCGCCAACGTCCGAACTGCACAATATATCGACGCCCCGAATCTACACCTAGTTGCTTGACCTTCTGCCCAGCCCCGTAAGCAGCCAAGACAAGTCCGTCAAACACGCGCTTTTCTCCGTCCATCGACTCCATCCGCCCGGTTATGTCGGCCTCTCCCCACAACACGCGGGTCCAGGACTTTGCCTCTGTGCCTCCGCCGCCCACCGACCCCGAGCGTCCTGCCTCCGACTCAGCTGCCCCTCCGCAATTGACCCTCGACACCCAGCTCAATGGAGAACAAAGAAGTCGCGGCCGCTCCGCCACTGCAGCCACCGCGACCAGCGCTGTCCCTACCAACCCCGACACCCTCCTCTCCCCGGACCGCGGTTCTGTAGACTCAACCCTGCGCCGCCGAATCACCAGATCTCACACCGTCAAGCACTACCAATCCCCCACCCGCCAGTACCACCATCAGGAACCTGGCGCCGAGCCCGGTGTCGACACAAAAAACGACAATGAATCTGCAAACTACCACCATCTGTATGCCCCCTGCCAGATCACCGTAGTCGACTTTTCCGACCAGAGGGTCGAGTGCCACGAGCTCGACAACGACACGCTCGAGGAATTCCTAAAACACCCCAAGGAGGCCTGGGTCACCTCGCGATGGATCAATGTCAATGGCTTGAGCTGGGATGTAATTCGCACCCTGGGAAACCACAAGCAGCTGCATCGCCTGGCCATTGAGGACTTGATGAGCCCACAGAGCAGGACAAAGGTCGACTGGTACTCTGACCAGGCTTTCATGCTCTTGACTCTCTCCAAGCTCGTCCGCACCCCCGTAGACGAAGACTCGGAAAGCGATTCCGACTCGGACTTGGACGACGCCGATCAACGTTATGAGGCTTCTCGGTTGCGCTCCCGCTCACGTCATTCCAGCCATCACCATAAGAAAAAGAAGAATCGAAAGCCATCCTTGTTCAAACAGGCAAAGAGAATGCTCTTTTCGGGAAATAATGACGGGGCAAAGTCGAAAAAGGACGACATGATACACGCCCTGGATGGTATAGAGAAGCAGCTTGACGGTACGCCTCTTGAAAGGCTTCGAACAGCCACGCCTCCAGCAACGGCTGCAGTCCGTACCCTCCAGCGTTACCGTGGTGGATACAACCTCGACCGTATAGTCTACCTGGAACAGCATTCGGCGCTTACAGAGAAGCACTTGACTGTCAGCGTTGAGCAGGTCAGCATCTTCTTGCTCGCCGACAACTCGGTCATCTCTTTCTTCGAGCACTCGGCCGACGATGTCGAAGGCATGATTCTGAAGCGTCTCCGCACCGAAGACACCATTCTCCGTCGCAGCCAAGACAGCAGCATGATTGTGCAAGCCATCATCGACGCCATTGTCGATCTAGCCATACCCGTCGTGGCCGCCTACGAGGACGCCATGGGCGAACTGGAACTCGACGTGCTCGAGGAGCCCGAGCTGCACCACAGCCAACTCCTCTATCTCCTCACATCGGAGCTCTCCATCCTGCGCAACACAATCCAGCCCATAGTCTCGCTCATCAACTCGTTGCGCGACCACAAAGCAGACCCCATGACGCAATCCATGCTCGCCCACACAAACTCCAACCTCGCTACGCGCAAGACGATGACATCCATCAACATTAGCCCCCTCGCCCACACGTACCTCGGCGACGTCGAAGACCACTGCATCATGATCACGGCCTCACTTGACCAGATGCGCCGCGCAGCCGACAACCTCATCGATCTCATCTTCAACATGATGGGCGCCTACCAAAACGAATCCATGAAGATCCTCACCGCAACCACAATCTTCTTCCTGCCCCTCACTTTCCTCGTTGGTTACTTTGGCCAGAACTTTGCCCGCTTCAACGGCGTCCAGCACCACTCTGACGCCTTTTTCTGGATCATTGCCGTCCCCGTCATGTTTGTCACGCTGCTTGTGCTCATGGCCGATCGTATCATCCGCAAGTTCAAGCATTGGAGTGGCAAGCTGAAGCGGAGAGAGGCCAAGCGTAGGGCCGTTAGGAAGGCCAGGGCGGGCGTCAATAATATGTTGGGGGATGGAATGGGCATGGGGCGGCATGGGGTAGAAGGGCATCAGCATCGCGCAAAGAGGAGGCAGACTATGTATACCAAGGGGAATATCGGGTCTTTCTGATTAGATGCTTGTCGAGGATTGTAGATGTGGTCCCCCTTTTTTATCTCTTCTCTTCTCTTCTTATTTTCTTTTCTTTTCCAGTTTCTAGACGAAACAACCATTAGAGCCATAGATTCGGAAGTGTCATGCGCATGTACATATATACACATCTTTTCTTTCTTTCATTAATATCCTGCCACGAAAAAAAAAATGTCTTTTGTTTCCTTGGAAATATACCATCAGATCTATGACGAGGAAGAAGAAAAAAAAGAACTTCATTTCTTTCTCTTCCCATCTATTAACAATTCTATACGTGAAAATAACCTAATTCATGATTTCCTCTTGCCCTCCCCCCCCCTTGTGGATAAATCCATAAATGTGAGTGTTGGTAAAATGATTCCAGAATTTCTTTTTTTGTTCATTGCCTTCAATCCCCCCGCACTTCGTTGAGCAAAAAAGAGAGAAGAAGAAGAAGAAGAAGAAAAACGCCTAAACCCATACTTTCCCCCCAAGTTTCCCCATAGATTTTTTGCTTCCGCAGCGGGGGAAAAAAAGGGAATAGACCGAAAGTTCGTCACCAGCACCTATCTCAAGTGCACCTTCTATATTAAGATTCTTATCCACTTCCTCAATTCAAACACACTTCATCATCTACTGTACCTGCTTAATCTTACACTGCCATCCAGAGTTGGCCTCGAGCAACGGAAGACTATTACACATGTTAGTTCTGTTGCCCACGAATTCCAACAATCAAAGCAAAAAAAAACAAAAAACAGGGGGAACAGATTTCTTACCTAGCACCCAAACACCAACCCAGCTCATTTCCCTTGATCTTCTTTGCAATCTTGACTTCACGGTCAATAGGCATACCGTATCCACTCCTGAGGAGCTCAAACTGGAAGTTGAGATCGAGACACCACTCGGGACGGCCCTTGAGCTCATCCAAGGCCTGGGGCACAGCAGAGAAGACGTCCCACCCCTTTTCGCCGCTGCACACCTTGTCCGCGAGGTCCTGGAGCTCGCGGAGGGTAAACGACTCGGGCATGCCGAGCTCCTGTGTGCGGTCGTAAAAGTATGAGAGGAGGTACACGGCTTCCGTGGCAAAAGTCTGCGCAAAGGGGGGCTGGTGGACGCCACGGAAGGCGCACGGCGCAATCGCGCATTCGTCGTCTTTGTGTAGAGTCTTTTCTGCCAAACCCCGGCATTGAGTTGGCGCAGAGGTAGAGGGTCCCGTCATGTTAACCGTGAGCGAGTCGCCCAATGGGTGGCCCTTGGGCATATGGACTTCAATCTCGCGCGACATGCCAGGGGGTATGCAAGGGTTGACAATGGGCTGCTTGAGGTATTCGCGGTTGTCCTTGTGCGTGTCGTGGAGGCTCGCGAGAATGGTGCTGTGCAGGTTGTTGCGGGCTTCCATCAAACCGTAGCCAAGGTACGAGTGCTGGTATAGGTCAAAGTTGCGGTTGCCAAAGCTGAGTTCGTACTTGTGGTCGCCCTCTGCGAGCTTCGTTGGCAGTCCG